ACCCCCGGGCTGAGACGAGGCTCATCCATTTTCAATTTCATCTGTTACTGTATACCGTTGATGACGCTGAAGATCATTTGACTGCTTTTGAATGCTTCTTCCGTGTATCTTTGGTTATATTTTGCGTATAATGTGTTGTGATAATCAACAGCACAGAAGCGTTTGATATAAAGATGTTAACGATAAAATCAATTGTGATAAATAACAGAATGGTATGGTATTAGTATGAGAAATGATGTTATAATATTACTGGTATTTGGTATAATGACGACGAGAACATTCCAGAACGCGGGTGTAGTCGTGCTTACCAACGGACTCGTTTACGACTTCAACCCATTCTGTAAGTATCTTCAAATCCGGTTGGGCGTCTTGAGTCTCCAGAAATGTGATATATGGATATATTAATTCATTCCACTTTGATGCCATGAAGTATGAGAAATCAATCATCCAATCAGAATTAACGTGATATATTCATGAACACGAACACTACCTTTTGTTTGATAATTATTGAACATTTAAATATTTCCACTTGGTTAATAGAAGTTCATATGAGATGCGACTTGTTTGTTTGCACATTCACCGTCCTCTGTTCTGTAACACAGGCATTAACATTTAAATCGGATTCACGTGGGTAGGAGTGAATGAGCTTGATCGATTAGGTGTTTGCTTGTTCTGTTCTTGTAGTTTGTTTGTCCATGTTCCACGTCGTTTGTGTGTTTGTGCGTTTGTCGACTTTATTACCGGTGGGCACGTTTGATGCTACTTAAATTCCACATTCGTTATGCATATATCTGTTACAGACGCGATTTTGTTACGCAATTTATATTTAACATGATAGAAAATTATGTAGAAAGAAGGTAGCAATGGAAATTTGGGAAGTCAGATATTCTCCCGATAGAAAAATCTAGAAAGGTCCTCGTGTAAAGTGAACGGATACTATATTTTCGTGCACGTTATCTTTGAAAGCAGCTTGGCTTCGTTTAAAATGGTTACCGCGCGTGCAAGAACGAGATCTCGTTTTCTGTTCAGGTCGAACTACAGTTCTCATTTATTAACACACATTCCGTTTTCTTTATTTTTTACAATGTTCAAATTTTCTGTTTACCATATTTTTTTCTTCAAAACATGCTCAACGAGTAATATTTTCTTGCCAATAATAGGAAATATTTCCAGAAATACGACACAAAAATCAAAACTGGAATATTTCACTTTTATATTATTGCTCGCAGTCACAGGGTGGGTGTAGCTGCAAAATCTGATCTTTTTCTGCTTATATTGCACATCCGAATTGTTATAGGGAGCAGGTTTTTTTTATTCAAACGCAGCTGAATCCTTCCAGTTCCTTGCAAATTTTCAAACTGCAAAGAACTTAGAAGAAAGATTACCTATTTTCATAGCGCCGAAGACACACTTAGAATCAAGAGCTTTTTAATAATACTAATCCCTTATCATAGCTCTGTCTCGTGAAGCCCCTAGCCCCATCCAACTAACACTAACGCTGTACTAACTCCCGTGCTAGTGTACTACCGCACGGTCCTGGACGACCCGCGGGACCTGAGGGCCATGGAGTCCCGCGTCCCCGAGGCGGCCCTGGCGCAGGGACCCCCCGTGGCTGCGCGCACAAAATTCCCCGAGACCTGGGTCTTCACGGCGGCCGACTCCGGGTAATTCCTCATTTCTGACTAACTTCTTTTGTTTTTTATTCATGCATTGACGTCACTAGAAATCTAGGTAGAGAACTGCGCGAGCTATAGAGTGCAGAGTCTACTATGCACGATCTAAAGGTTTCCTGCACTTCCTAAATCATTTCGGAACTGCTTTCTTCTAGTGGCCGAAAGGCAAGAGCGTAGTTCGTACTCCACCAGAAACAAACATCTTTAACGCTGTGGACATTCTCATGTACAGATCATTTATAGTGACATTACCACGAGCCCTTTGCAAGGAAAACTCAAACTGCATCGCATCTCTGACTTCCGCTCTATATTGTGTTATTACTTTCTCAACCTTGTAGGGTTGTCGGAGTGCCCTCGGCACCTTTCCTCTCTCTTCTTCGTAATTCTTCACTTCGACGAAGGCGTCTTGCAAGGCTGAAACTTTTCCTTGGAGACCTCGTCATTAACATACTGGGCATGAAGGGCGCCGTGCCGCTCGACACGGCGGCCGCTCCTGAACCTCTCCGCGAGACGAGTCGTGGTATTAACTCCTTATGAACGGCCAATCCAAGTGTTTAGTTGAGTTTTATACTGTGTGCATGCGCATGAACATTTATGTTATTCCGCTTGTGGTCGGCATTTCGTGCGATTGTGTGCGTGTTTCTGTTTTGTGTACATCTGTGTGCATGTGTAAAAGGTTCCAAGATGGCGGGCCATCTGCGTTCTCGAAGCAGCGACCGCGGTAGCAAATAAGTCTCCTTCATTTCCTGTCTCACCATTTGGCCAACAGTGACAGGGAAGTTGCCGCCAGGGGAGGGCCCCGTCGACGGCTCCGCGTGGGACCCCCACCGGCGACCTGCAGCTGTTAACGGTTCCTTCGGGAGGGAGTTCGCACCTGTGGGAGCGACCACCCTGCGCCCCGACCTGGGCCCTGGCCTTGCCTATAACGCCCCGACCAGACCACCCTTGGCTGGTCCCTATGCCTTCTCCTTCTTGCCGCCTCCCCCGGACAGCCGCCCGAGGCTCTACCTCCACCAGGCCGTCCCTCCCACGTGGCTCTTCCGAGACGCGGAGACAAAGTGGGTGCTGCCTCCCTCTGCCCCTCCCTGGCACTCTGTTCCCCGCCTCCTCTCTGTCTGTCTGTCTGTCATTCTCTCTTTCTCTCTGTCTGCCCGTCACTTACTCTCTCTCTCTCTATGTGTGACTGTCATTCTCTCTCTCTCTCTCTCTCTTGTTTATATATCTCTCTGTATCATTTTATTAGCTTAACTCGAGAGCCGCGGCCCCCTTGACCAAGGCGGCGTCTGCTGGCTGTGCTGTAGCTCTCAGTTGCACGTAAAGTGTCAACATAACTACCATAGAGTCTAGCCTTGTGTTGGGGCTTGCTGTGATAATCAGCTTTCTGAGCATCGCTGTGTTACTGACAGGGTGGCAGCACACGGAAGTAACGCTGATCAGTGGCATAACCTCAAAATGTGGCTGGATCCGTGACAAAGGACTATCAGAACTTAACACTGCGGCCAGCTGCAGTAATTGTGGCATTAACATTAGACAGTGTATAAAGTTAACATTAACAATGGACAGCAACACGAACCTGACTGATGTAATGGATGCTACGTGGACTTCTGACACAAAACTTATGTTCATAGACGCCCAGACGTCCAACTGACGATCTCTTAGCGCGATGAACCGGAGACTGTGCCCGGAGCACCTGTGACTAACACCATGCTAGTCTTGGCTGGTTAGCCCTTGCTGCTTATGCCCGTAGTGGTGGCAGAATTGCCTCCTGTTTGTCATTATTCGCATGACTGTTGTTTTTTTGTTTTAAGTTATAGTGTTGCTTTAGAATCAAGTTCAACCTGGCGCAGCCATTTCCAAAAAAAAAAAAAAAAAAAAAAAAAAAAAACGGTTTTGAGTAAACGGTGGATGCGTCAAGGTCATACTTGGATTGCCATTTTCATATATACATCAGACGTCGTAATGTCTGACAAGCATGTGCATGGTGAGATCATACCATAATAATATTTTTTGGCATGGAAGCTTGTTGGATAACAGGATTGTATGCATTGCATGGACAAGTTGCATGGTTTGGATGCATGGTAATTTTAGGATTATTGATGTTTTGTTCCCGACTCCTTTCACGATTGCAGATGCGTCCAGGACAGCCTCCCTACTTTGACTTACTTGGTATTTTACAGTAACCAAAACAGCTAATGACCAATTGAAATATAAAACCGTGAAGATACAATTTGCATATAAAGAAAATGAAATATGAAAAGGAATATGAAGGCACGGGGACTGGTGAGCAGCTGGTGTCCACTTTGCAGGTTCAACGGCGTCGTGACCCTCCGGGAGAAGGCCCCTGACGCCATGACCTCCTACATGGTGTCCGCTTTCGCCGTCGACGACTTCTTCGGCCTCGGGGTGTCCCAGAGGTCAGCCAAGGTGAGGCGGAGGGGAAGAGGGAGGGGTGGAGGAAGAGAAGGACGGAACAAGACGGGAAGGGGAAGGGAAAGGGAAAAGGGAAAAGAGAGGGAAACGGGAAAATGAAAAGAGAGAGGAAGGGGAAGGGGAAATGAAAGGGAAAGGGGAAGAGGAAACAGAAGAAAGGAATTGAAGTGATAGACAAGAAAACACACATATATGTATGTTACATATAGGTGTGTAAAGAGAGGGAGGGAGGGAAGGAGGGACAGAGAGAGAGGGAAGGAGGGACAGAGAGAAAGGGAAGGAGACAGAGGGAAGAGGAAGGACAAGGAAATGTGATCCTTGAGGCAAGCGCCCTTACTGCGCGCACTCTCCGCAGCTGCGCGTCTTCCGGCCGTTCTTCACGTCACTGCACCTTCCGGAGGCCGGCGTGGTGCGTGGCGAGGCCGTGGCGGTGGAGATGGTCGTCTTCAACTACGGAGAGAGTGACGTCATCGCCGACGTCATGCTCGACAACCCTGGCGACTTCCTCTTCGCGGACTTCGCCAACGAGATCGACCAGGGATGTGAGTTTGGCGGCAGACGTTCGGCCTTTGTTTGTTCATCATTTTATTGTTGCTTGCTATGTTGCTTATTTATAAATATGTCATGATAAGATTCCGCGTTCCATGGAAAGTGAAAGGCGCCGTTAGGTTATACCGAGAAACAGTAGAGCATCAGTCCTGTGGCTTCTCCCGTAGCTCCGTCCAAGAGCAAGCAGCGGCAGGTGAAGGTCGCCTCGGGCAGCGGCGCCCCCGTCAGCTTCATGATCGTCCCGCACACGCTGGGCAACATCCCCATCAAGGTCACTGCCACGACGGACGGCGCCGTGGACGTGGTCGTCAAGCAGCTTCTGGTGAAGGTAGGGGCGAGGGCGAGAGGCGAGGGCGCCGCCGCGGGGTGTCATGGATCTTACTCCGTGTAAAGAGGGACGAGGGAGTGCGCGAGGGATCTGCCGGGAAACGTGATAAAACTGATTATCATAATTTAAAACGATTTATTTATTGAGAACTATTTATTTCAAAATACTATTCGATATATCATCACCCATATGGCACAGCTTCCTCTATATTAATGACGGCCATCTCTGTCTTCCGAAAAGCCCGAGGGATCGCGCATAACGGTGAATAAGGCCATCCTGCTGGACCTGAGGTCGCAGCCCTCCGTCAGCACCAGCATCAACATCACTCATCCGCCCAACATCGTCAACGACTCCAAGGCCATCCAAGTCTCCGTCATCGGTAGGACTTTATCTGCAAAGGACATAACAGATAGATGGAGTAGAAGGGCCACTGGTTGCAAAGTTATATTCACTAGGAATACTTATAAAAGAAACTAAACAATGACATTCCTCATAATTCCTTCATCAAGACCCAAAGGGCTGTAATAGCTAACGTCGCACGACCCTCATACGTGTTCCCATGGCAGGTGACATCCTTGGCGCGGCCGTGTCGGACCTGCACAGCCTGCTGGAGCTCCCGACGGGCTGCGGCGAGCAGAACATGGCCAAACTCGTCCCCAACATCGTGCTCATGGAGTACCTCAAGGTGAGTGCCGGGCCTTTAGAAGCTGCTTTGGGGATCCTGCGGTTTGTAAGGCAGGAGTTAATTTTGACTTAAGCCCTTTTCATGACTTTGATCAGGAGAAAAGTAGTAAGATGTCTGTAGGAATTTAATGCAATAATGAAATGAAGGATGAAAACTGTCAATGTTTACTATAATTTCCTGTAGTATCAGATTTAAACGTTCGCATGCCTCGCCCCGACAGAACAAGAACCAGCTGAGCGAGGACTTGCAGGGCCGAGCGCGACGGCATCTGGAGACCGGATATCAGCACCAGCTGTCCTTCAGGCATGACGATGGCTCTTTCAGCGCCTTCGGGATGCGAGACGAGTCGGGCAGCACGTGGTGAGTGGAGAGAGTTCATGGCCCACGGCGCTTGTAGATGACACAGTGTGGTTAGATTTTATTCATGCTCTAACATGGTTCACTGAAGATGTAATCATTGCTTACTAAGAGAAGAGTGCGCTTCTTTGGAATCGAAGTATTATCCTACTTGGGCACATAAGCCATAGACCAGTAACAATACCTGAATAAGGAATGAGCATGATATTCTTGACAATATGTTAACCTCCGTTTATGGAAAAGGATAGCTTAATTGGCAGAACACGTGCGTATTTTATTCATGTCCATCAGTTTGCTTACATTATACATGAATTCGTATGCAAACACACCATGTAAATGAATTTGTCTGCACTGCAAGCGCAGCCACTAAATGCATTGCTTCCCAAAGGCTGACCGCCTTCGTGGCCAAGTCCCTCGCCGAGGCCTCGAGGCACATCGAGATCGAGGAGGAGGTGGTGCAGCAGGCCGTGGAGTGGCTGACGCAGCTGCAGCAGGTGGACGGCAGCTTCAAGGAAGTCGGCACCGTTAACAACGAGGCCATGCAGGGAGGGTCCGGGAAGGGCGTCTCGCTCACGGCCTATGTGCTCATCGCCCTCCTGACGGTCGAGGTGAGAGGGATGGGGCGGCAGGGGAAGGGAGGAGGAGAAGGAAAGGGAGGAGAGGAAGGTGGAGAGGAGAGGAGGAGGAGGGAAGAGGATAGGGAGAATGGAAGACGGAAAGGAGGAGGAAAGAGGATAGGGAGAAGGGAAGACGGAGAAGAGGAGTAAGAAGGAGCGGGAGAATGGGAAGAGGGAGAGGAGAGGAAGACAGAGAGGAGGAGGAAAGAGGATAGGGAGAAGGGAAGACGGAGAGGAGTAGATAGTAAGGAGAGGGAGAGGAGTAAGAAGGAGCGGGAGAAGGGGAAGAGGGAGGGCTGAGGCAGTGAGAGGGAAAAGGGGAAGAAGGAGAAGAGGAGACAATCAGGAATGCGGATGGGGAAGATAGAGGGAAAGAATAAGAGACAAATGGAAAGGAAGAGTGTGAGGTAGAAAGAGAAAGAATGAGCAACGATAAATAAGGGAAACGTTGGGGCAGAGAAGAGAAAGAAAACGTTTTGAAGGAGACTGAAAGGAAGGAAGGAAGGAAAAAGTGAACCGAAATGGAGAGAGCCAAGAAAGGGGATCGGGAAAGGTGAGAAAAGGGTAAGAGGAAAGTGAGAAGAGTTTTTAAGGCTCGTGCACGGTTCAAGAGAGCGCGCTCCTCTGCTCTCCTCTTCCGTGTTCTGTCTTTACCGCGTCAGAAATGCTTCCATGAGTCAGACTCCGTTTTCTATCTTTAACGGGAGCCTTGACTTAACTATACTTGTTTAGTCGTATTGCCTTATCTCTGCAACGTTGTTAAGATTGGTCTAGGTATTAGAAAAGGAGAAACAAAAGGACACAAAAGAAAACTCACAATACTAAGCATGTTTTACCTTGCCAGAACCCCCCGTCGGCCAAGGTTCGAAACGCGGTGAACCGAGCCGTAGACTTCTTGGCGAGCAACATTGACGAAATCGAGGACGTGTACAACCTGGCCATCAGCACGTACGCCCTCCACCTTGCCGACCACCCTCAGCGTGACACCGCCTTCTACAAGCTAGAGGGCAAGGCCGAGGTCAAAGGTCAGTCATTGCAGCTTTGATGGCTGGCTTATTATATGCATTTTTTTATTGCACGGAATGGAGAAACTGCGTGATAGACAGTATTTGATATTGTGACCGACCGCGCCCTCTTCCCCCGCGCCCGCAGACGAGCAGAAGTGGTGGGTGTGGCAGCCCCTGGACGTGAACCTGGAGACCACCGTGGAGTCGCGGCCTCTCGACGTGGAGACCACCAGCTATGGCCTCCTCACCTACGTGCTCAGGGGCCTCACGCGCGACGCCATCCCCATCATGAGGTGGCTGACGAGGCAGAGGAACCAGTACGGAGGATTCCAGTCCACGCAGGTAGGCCCTGGAGGCTCTCGGGGCCGGCGGGCTCGGCTTTGCATTTAGTTGTTTCGATGTTTCATACACTCATTCATTCACACACTCGCACGCACACGCATAAACACATTCGCACTCACACTCCTCCACTAAAGAGGTTTCTCCTTCGCAGGACACCGTCGTGGGCATGGCCGCGCTGGCCGCCCTCGCCGAGCGCCTCACGACCACTGACCCGCAGGTGAACGTCAGGCTCATCTACGGCGCTCGGGGCAAGAACGTGCAAGTCACGAGGGATAACACTATGTTGCTTCAGCGTGTGGAGGTAATGGCGGATGGGAGGGAAGAAGGAAGGGGAAGAGAGAGAGAGAGAGAGAGAGAGAGAGAGAGAGAGAGAGAGAGAGAGAGAGAGAGAGAGAGAGAGAGAGAGAGAGAGAGAGAGAGAAAGAATCAGAGAGAGAGAGATTAATACTCAAAAGATCTTACATATCCATTTCGAAAACACAAAATCCAGCAGAGCATAAAAACCCCTCCCCACAGCTGCCAGCGGACACCGACAAAGGGGTCACGGCTCGGCCGTGCGTGCCAGGTCACCTACCACTAAAGCACACGGGCCAACCGCCCACAACGCACGACACGACCGGAACCGCCTGCCCTCACCGCCTGCACGGGGTGGTGGCGGGCCCTCGGAGGGCTCGGGGGGGGGGGGTAAAAGAAAGAAAGGCAGGGTAGAAGCTTCTCTGCTACAATCATCTATTTATATATTTATATGTACAGAATGTGTGTGTGTGTGTATATATATATATATATATATATATATATATATATATATATATATATATATATATATATATACATACACACAAACAAATACACACACACACACACACGCACATATATATGTATATGGAAGAAAAACCTACAATGCACAAACCAGATTTATTGATGAAAGTGAGACAACAGTTTCGGAATCGTCCTCGATTCCATCTTCGGGTCAGACCGAAACTGTTGTTCTCACTTTCATCAATAAATCTAGTTTGTGCATTGTGGGTTTTTCTTCCATATTATCAACACGGTAGTGTGTTTTTCATTGCATATATGATATACATACACTGATGTACATGTATATATATATATATATATATATATATATATATATATATATATATATATATTATAATATTGCAGAGTTCCTTGCCACTCTCCTGACTCGATCCTTTCCCGCCAGATACACGGGAGGAAACAACAGCAACATGGCCGTGATGGACGTCTCGCTTCCCTCGGGCTATATTGTCGACAACGATCTTATTCCCGGTAAGTGTATGTCCATTTGTGTGCGTTTGTGTGTGTGTGTGTGTAGGTGAGTGTTTGTGTACGTATGTGTGTGTGTGCGCGTGTGCGTGTGTGTGAATGTGTTCCTGTAGCACCCGCAACGACGCCCTGAAAACCCTCCTCGGCAGGTCTGTACGACTACTCGGGCGTGAAACTTGTGGAGAAGAAGAGCGACGACTCGGGCGTGCTGGTCTACTTCGACTACCTGACGCCCGAGGAGGTGTGCCCGACGGTCTCCGCCTACAGGGTCAACAAGGTCGCCTTCCAGCAGCCCACGCCCGTCCAGGTCTACGACTACTACGACACATGTGAGTCCGCCTGCGCGCTCGAATTCTGACTGACTGTGATACTGACCAAATACTTTGAGAAAAGCCATCAGATGCCTTCCTTCGGCGCACAAGTATTTCCATGAAGGTGAAAAAGTCCCCCGCCCCTTTTCGGATCCTACCATTCCTGTACGCACAAGGCAACGCCCCCCCCCCCCCATAGAGAGACCCCTAATGCCCTCCCGTCCCTCTCGCCAGCCCGGCGCGCGAGGCGGTTCTACAAGGCCCTCCCGGCCACGCTCTGCGACATCTGCGACCTGGACGAGTGCGACCCCGACCAGTGCCAGGACCAGATCATCGAACTCAACAGGCAGCTGCAGGTGAGTGCCTCGAGGGGCAGCGCGAGAGGCGGAGCTGATGAGAAAGGTGTCGACATTT